TCCACCAACACCCCAAGGCTTTCTCCTCTGGGCTGCCCTCAATCCACTCATCATCCAGCCTGCAGCCATGTTTGGAATTGCTCCAAACCACATACAGGACCTTGCACTTGGCCTTGTTCAGCTTCATGAAACTGACAATATCCCACATTGCCAACCTGTTCCAGTTCCTCTGAATGCCATCCCTTCCCTCCAGACACCCAACCCCACTACTCAGCTTGGAGTGGTCCCTGCTTTTGCTGATCGTGCCCCTAAATGCCAGGGCCGTGATTTCTGACAATGATTCAATATTATAACAATCCCAACATGAGTCTCTGTGGGTCACCACTCATCCCTGTTCTCCACACACGGACATGGAGCCATTGACCACAACTCTCTGAGTGAGACCAACCCTCCCATTCCTTCTCCACCAAATAGTCCAACCAACATCCACATCGCTCCAGCTTTGAGCCAAGGATGTTGTCTGGCACAGGAACAAAGGACTCGCACAAGTCCAGGTGCAGGATACTGGCACCTCTTCTCTCATCCACTAATTTTGGGGTGAATACCAACTCAACAAAGCGGCTGACAAGCACAGATGGGCATGGCCTCGAGAGAGGACATGGAATTGCAGAGGTCTGGGAAGCAAAGCGTTCCCAACCTCGTGACTCACCAGGCTGTGCCAGGCAAGAGCAGCTGGCCTCAAAAATGCCCCAATGTCATGGGCAATGGCTGTCCCAAACCTTCAGCCATGGTTCATCCTTGAGGCCATGCCCTGGATATCCCTCACTTCAGTCTTGTCTTCCTTGTTCCCAGTAACCCAGAGGTTTACAGAGCTCTCCAAAATCACCACAGCAGAGCAGGGGCAGAATTTGCTGCACATGGATTGGAACAATCTAAGCCATGCAGGATAAAGTCTGGGTGATGAGGGCATTGAGCCCCAGGAGGAGCACTTGGGGTGCTGGTGGATGAAGTATTGGACACGCCCTGCCATGTGAATGCACCAAACAGAAACCCCTCTGTGTCCTGGGCTCATCCCCAGAGCGTGGGCAGCAGGTGAGGGGAGATTCTGCTGCTCTGCTCCACTCTGGTGAGACTGGAGAGGGGAGTTCAGGTCCGAGACCTGGAAATGAGGAAGACATGGACCTGCTCAGGCAGAGCTGGAGATCGCCCTGGATGGCAATGACACGTAGGAGCTACTGGTGTCGAGAAAAATTGCACACATCAACCACGAGGGGCTTGTACCTAAGTCAGGGATAGACCTGCAGTGGTGTGTCCAGGTTTGTGTTTCAATAGCTGAAGGTTTCATGAGATAATGCAACAGAAGAGCAAAATATGTCAGCGAGTAATGGAAATGCAGAAATAACACCTAATAGTGATCTTGGTGCACTTTTTCACTGACCCCAGTGGCCTCTACCAGCCTGGCTAAGTGCTGAGTGAGACTGGAAGAAGCTTGGGAGAAGAATGAAGGAGTCATCTGAGGTAGTGATGCAAGAAATCTTTATTGAGGTAGCAGAGAGAAAA